TAGATAATGCCGGGCTTCAAGCATAAGCTGCTTATTTAAGAGGACGCAACTTCTCCAAAGTCAGGCTAAGTCTTAAGGAGAGTCTTCTATTCTGGCAATCGTTACCAACTAAGTACCTTCACTATAGGTAAAAATGTTGGGTATTGCTGGCGAGTCGTCACTTTTGCGAAAGGGGAGATTGTGTTAGAAAGTCTTGCTGAAAAGTTTCCAGTTTGTAGCCCTCCATATTATATTTCTTTTATAGTCTTATGAATTATAGGAAGAGGAAACAGCCTATTTATGGAACTGGGGATTGTATCAAACTTGATAATGATCATTATAACACCAACCGGATGATCATCGCGCCACAACAACTTTTTTCTGGAAATCACAATCTCAACGCCTACTAGATCAGCATGTGAAACAGCTTTTTATAAGAAACAGCGCTTAACAGGTTATGGTACTAGATATCCTATTAATTCTTATTTAACCGTTCTCACATGGGATTGAACTGATATCTTGTAATTTGACCTGTGGAGTGTTAACTACTATACTATAGACCCACAGGTATAAAATCTCATTTATCTATTTTTATTTATACATATTATATTTATTATATTTAATATACTTATCATTATACTTACACTTATAATTTTCTATAATTTACTTATTACTTTTTTCTTATAACAATATGATATTACAAATAATATCTTTTTTGTATTAGACTTTTTTAATTGAATTATAACAATAATAGAATATATAACTTAATTATATAATATGATTTGAAATTTATGTTATTCTATAATTAATATATTATTATTTATAAATATTAAATAGAATTTTAACAAATTTTTCTAAATTAATAAACAGTTATATCTAACAAGTCAAAATTATTCTATTAATATTTTATTTGAAAAAATTACTATCAATCTATCTATTATAATTATTAATACTTTTATTTAATATAATTATAATTATAATAAATATATTTAAAATATAATATCTTTATTATTAAATTTTATTTCTTTTAATATTATATAAGTATTTATAATTACTTAATACTATTTGACAAAATATATTATTTTAAATTTTTTTTATTTTATTATTATAATTTTAGACTTGCGAATATAAGATTTATAGTATAACATATATCTCTCTTTATTAGGAAGAGTTAAATGCAAGGCTTTGCAAACATGGTTTATCCTCTATGCTTTTTAGTATCACCCAAGAATATAGAAAAAAGAAATTCAAAATCTATATTATATCTTGAATGGTATCTAGCTACCTAGAGAAATTTGATACCTAATTATATGAAGGTACTGTAGCCATTATATATAGATTGGTTTTCAAGTTATAACTAGAATTGGTAAGCTTGCTTTTTAAATATGGTTTGATATATGGCAAGCTGAATATATTATATCTTATACTTTATTTAAATAACTTATTCAATTAGTTAAGTGATTATTATTTTGACTTGGACATCTAGTAAAGATTAGCCTTTCATCTGATCACCTAGTATTTGATCTTCATTACTCTTTTAGAATTGTAGCAGATTACAGATTACTTAAGCCTATAGCAATTGCCTATACTTGTAATAAATAAAGAAGGAGACAGTTGCTCTTCATAAAAAGTATTATATATATAGCCGCACCATTTAAATATTTGAATAAAATTCAGCATAAGTATAAGGCAGAAGAAGATAGAAAAAGATTGTTTGGATGTGTAGTAATGGTTATTGAAAGAAGTTATTGGACATAATAAAGTTGAAGTTTCTTATAAATATTGTTACCTAACTTTGTACAATAAGTCTACATTTAAAGATGGATCCATAAACTATTTAGCATATAAAATGTTGCAGATCAATTATATCCCTTTTAAAGGGACATAATTATTTATTCATTACTTTAATAGAAACATAATTTAAAAAATATTTGGATCAAGTGATCTAAATTACAAAAAACCTTTGTAAGTAGTTTTTTTTTTGATCTTATATTTTAAAAAAACTTTTTTAATAGTAAAAGACATTTGAATTATGTTCTCGTTTTTAATTTAAAGACCTATCTTTATCTACATTGTTGAAAGGATAAATAAAAAACTTTTGTTGTCATTATCAGCCCGTGTTACAGGATAATTAGAATCTCTGGTCTTCATGTATTATCCTACTAGATTTCTCCAATCACTAGCATGACACCTGCAAACTAATCTAGCTTATTATTAGCTGCATTAGTATTGATTATCATATTTTTTTGGATATAGTAGAACACAACTTCTTGGATACTTTCAGATAATAATAGTTGTTCACTAGTTTCTTAAATATATCTAGTTTAATTATCAACAAGTAAACAATACCAGATTTGATAATGATAACTAAATCAATTTTTTGAAAAGGATAAGTCATCCATCCTTTTTCTGTAAGGTTATGGAAGAGAGAAAAATTCTGAAGTCCATATTTTGAAAGAAGTTATTACTTCTGAATATAGTCTTGTGAAAAGGAAGTCAATTGGCTAGGAGATTAATATTATGGAAAGTGGGTTTATAAAAGAAAGAAAGACTTAAAAAAGAAAATCTTCAGGAAGAAAGAAAAATTTAACTTCAGCAGAAAAGGAGAAAAAAAAAGAGGAAGAGGTGAATTTTATATAAAGAGTATATAGAAAGGAGAAGTGAAAATAGGAAAGAAGAAATAAAAAGGTATAAGAGAGTGGAAATAAAGAAAAAGTGAAAAATGAAAGTGAAAAAAAAGTAAATAACTCAAAAGTTTCCTAAAAAGGAAATTTTCAAGCACAGAAGGGGAAGTGGAAAAAAGTTTTTTTTTTAGTTTTAAATTTTTTTTTTAATATTAGTTAAATGATTATTATAGTAGGATTTTGAATTAAGTATTAAAATGAATAATTATTTTCGAAGGTGAACCAGAAATTTTCTGGTGTGATCCTACAATTTATATTATATATGTATTGTTAAAAGTTGAATCAGAAAAAATCATATTTAACATTTTTGTCACCTTCAAAAATAATTACCAAATAGTATTAACTTGATATTAACTTATAATAAATTTAATATGTGGATTATGATTTATTATATTTAACTTATAATAAATTTAATATTAATTTGATATCAAAAATGATATTATTAGAAATCTTAATTATAAGTAAGTTAGTATTTAACTTATTATATTAATATAAGAAAAATATTGTTTCTTTTACAATATATATCTTGATATATACAAATCAAATAAATTTTTATTATAAAAATTTCTTTGATTTTTTTTATATTTTTATTTATAATATAAATTCAAATTTTTATAAGTAAATTATAAAAAAATATAATAATAATAATTGTTATATTTTATATAAATTTCAATAATATATTAAAATTATTTGTTTAAAATCAATATTTAAAAAGTTTGTCAAGAATAAATAAATAATTTTTTTAATTTAATTTAAATTTTTTATTATATAAGATTAGATATTGTTATAATATAATTTTTATTTTCAAATATTATTAAAAAAATAAATTATAAATATATTTTTATTAATTTTTCAAGTAAATTGCTTGAAAATATGTATAAATTAAAGAATATTTTTTATAAAAATTACAATTTTAATACTTATTGAATTAATATGGGTAATTCTTTTTGAAGGTGGACAGGAATTTTTCTAACTTTATAATTGTACTCCTAAAATTTATATTGTATATGTATTGTTCAAAAAATAGGGATCAAAAAATCGTATATAACATTTTTGTCATTTTCAAAAAGAATCAGCCATATATAAAATGCTTTTTTATAAAAAACAGTATATAACAGATTATAATATCAAATATCATATTAATTTTATTCAATTACTTTTACTTAGAATGGAACTGATATCTTGTAATTTAAATTTGAAAATACTGATTATTGTATTATAAATCCATAAATTGAGATTTTGAAATTAGTTATTAATTAAATATTCTTATTAATAATATTGATTATAAAATCAACAAATTTTAATCTTTTGTACAATAATTGGAATAATATACTGTATATAGTATATGGTATACGGTATATAGTATATAAATTACGTAATTAAAATTATATATTGTATATAATAATAATTACAAGTTATAATATTAAACTTAACAGGACAGGTGGCTGTTCTCGCATATTTGTACAGTTTACGTACACGGCTGCATTTGCATTGTTTTCGAGTAAAGTTTCCGTACTATAATAACTGTATAATTTAACCGAGCCGCGAATTCACGTGTAACCAATGAATTACGAATACAAATGCAAATGTACAAATACGTAATAAATCTCTGCTATTAAACTTATTATTGTCATAATATACAGTAGATAATAATTATTTTGGTGTCACAATTATTATACAATAAAAATTAAACAGTATTATCAATGGTTGATTATAAATTATTGTCAAAAATTGTTTATTTACACGTTCAACAAAATGACATTGAGCTCTATTGTGATTATAAAGTCATTTTATATTACAATACATGGTTGATTAGACAATATCAAAAAAAAAAACCAGATTCTATCAGAACATGAATTATTTTATTTTGGTTTCCACATTATACTTGTATTCTTATTGACGCGTGCCCATACTGAAGGATCTCGGTTGATTTCCTCAAATAACTGATAATGACTCTCAAAAGTCTTTTTCAGCGTGTCCAACATTTCTTGCGAAACTTTTCTCTCTTCGGTTGGATTTATCGGTGTGCTTTCTTTATATAAAAACTCCCGACAAATGTTATAATAATCTGCGTCGATTTTCAAGTTCTCCAATAATTCTTGATATAACTTATCAACGAGTTTTTCGCTTTGATTTCCGACGTAGTATTCGAATAGATTAACCGATTCGCTTTTTCCATGCTTCTTTAAAAATTCCAACAACTCGATTTTACGATCTTGACAAACCAATGCGATTGCATAGAACTTCTCCACTGTGTCCAGCAGTTTCTTCCAGAGTAAGAATTCTTGTAAGGACCAATCAGAAGCCACAAACTTTGATTCAGCAATACGTTTACTTTGATCTTTCGATCGTTGCCGAGTGAATGCTGCATATTTTCCAATTAACTCATGGTGATTTTTAAAAGAAATACGAAGATCTTTTAGTTTTATTATAATAAATTTATATTTTTGTATGCGCTGCAGTTTCGATAAAGGAGTTTCTTTGATTGAAGCCATGTTACGCTTTTCTTTGATAAAGTAAAATTTTACTAGTGTTTTAAGCAAATAATTTCTTTTATCGAGGTGTTCAAGGAAAAAAGTAATTTCTTTAATAAAAAATTTACGCTTGAGATTTATCACCCTTTTATACTTTTTACAATATAATTTACGTCATTATTATGATACACAACTATATTTGGTTTCCAAATAAACAATGTACGTAGACGTGCATAGAAACATTTGATTTTCCATATTTTTCCATATTTCCATTTTAATTTGTCTAGATTATCAGTTCCATATTATTATTAATCAATAAATCGAAATACATAACCCGGGATTCTTTTTCACACATCATGTATCGACTAGCAAAGAATGTAAGTTTTCATTAATCTGATTTTAATGTTAGTGTTTGGTTAGCGTAAATCTAATAATGTCTATTTTGTCTATCTATTTTGTCTCTTTTTGACATAGCTTTCCCGTGGCTATGCCACAGTTAGCGGTCGCAAAGTTAGTTTTTTTTATTTCAGCTTTTGATAGACCGACAATTCAAAGTGAATACCGTTCTAAGTTACATCAATCTCCTGTACATAGAATGTTGTTATTGCGTCAGCGGTGAGGACGCCAATCGGTCGTTTTAATGGATCACTGAAGAAACTCACTGCCCCGGAACTTGGTGTCGTGGCTACAAAAGGCGCGATTGAAAAAGCTGGTATATATGGCTAGAAAAATCACAATTCCTTGGTTCTATACAAAGCGGATGATCAAAAAAATTTTTTTTTTTTTCATTTTCGCTTGTTCCAGGCTTAAAACCAGAACACATTGAAGAAATCTATTTTGGCAATGTCCTGCAGGCAAATATAGGTCAATCTCCTGCACGACAAGTCGCCCTTGGATCAGGTAATCAGAAATGTTGACTTGAACTTTAACATTTCAACAAAATTGATATTATTTTGCATAATAATATAGGTTGTCCAACTTCAACTGAAGCGACAACAATCAATAAAGTTTGCGCATCTGGTATGAAAGCCGTCATATTGGCCGCACAGAATTTAGCACTAGGTGATAGATCAATCATGGTTGCTGGTGGAATGGAGAGTATGTCTAATACACCGTACGCATTCATCTTTTTCTTTTTATTATTCTCGAAGAATTTGTGTGATTTTAGAAAGTGTAATATTTCGTTTTCTTTCCCGCAATTTAGATTTTATTCTTCTAGAAATGCCGTTTATGGTCATCAGCAATTGATCGATGGTATAATTAAGGACGGATTATGGGATGTCTACGATCAGATACAGTAAGTGTGTCGTTATCATTTCTCATACACAATTATGTATATAATTTTATCGGGTGGCCGACTAATAGTTTTTTCATACAGCATGGTACAGTGGTTTCAACTATTTACCCAAGGAATGTCTCGATCTTGGATAACGTAACCTTTTATATTAGGGCAATTGCGCGGAGAATACAGCAAAGAAATACGGCATTTCTCGAGAGGCTCAGGATGAACACGCCATTGAATCTTATAAGCGTGCAGCTAATTCTTGGAAGGTATTTATTTATAAAAGTTATATTATTTCTAATTTATTAAAATCTTTTTGTATTTATAACAAATAATAGAATGGTATCTTTAAAGCTGAAGTGATACCGGTGGTAATCAAAGATCGTAAAGGAGAAATAATTGTTGATGAAGATGAAGATTACAAAGCTGTCAAATTTGATAAAATTCCTCAATTGAAACCGGCCTTCCAAGCAGATGGTAAGTAATTTCGGGAGTGTGTATAACATTATGAGTTCTATCTGAAATTGAAAATGCTCTTTAATAGGAACTGTAACAGCGGCCAATTCATCTAATATTAATGATGGTGCAAGCGCTTTGGTTCTTACAACTAGTGAAAAGGCCGAGGAACTCGGTATTAAGCCATTGGCACGTATTGTCTGTAAGTTAATTTATTTTTCTGATATCTTTGATTAGGCATAAAATTTAATTAACTCTCTTGATTTTGTCAACAAATGAAGCATACGGTGATGTTGCCGTTGATCCCATAGACTTTACAATTGCCCCATCACACGCGCTACCATTGGCATTGAAAAAGGCTGGACTACAAATTTCAGACATTAGTCTTTTTGAATTCAATGAAGCATTCAGTGTCGTTGCACGTGCTAATGAACAAATATTAGGATTGGATCCAAAGAAAGTTAATATTGCTGGTGGAGCTGTAGCGTTAGGCCATCCAATTGGATCGTCAGGAGCTCGCATCTTAGTAACATTAACGCATTTGCTTAAATCGGGGCAACTCGGTGCAGCGACAATATGTAATGGTGGTGGAGCTGCTTCGTCAATTATTATTGAAAAACTTTAAAGGCATCACATTATTACTAGGATATAATTTAAAATAAACTATCTAGATTGTTCTTATGGTGTTGTAACCTAAGAATGAATTGCGCTGTTGATCGATAATAAAAAATATTTGTACACGATTATATCCATATGTTAGTTTACAGTAATAATTGTTGCATAAAATGGAAAAATATATCACATTAATAATAATAATTGTATTTTTAAAATAAATTTCTGACTAGAAATAATAATATTTTAAATAACCTAAAAAAAATTTTTTTTTAACTTATTCATTATTAAACTTATAATTACTATTATAATACTTTATATATTCACAATGCAAGGTTAGTTTTTAAAATATAAATTAAAAATTTTTATAGAAGTAATAACTCTTTTATTACTATATACATATGATTATTTGTATTTATGTATACTGTATTAGATAAAAAATCAAAAAGCTGTGCTATCATAAACTGTAAATATTATACTATTAGATTAATTAAAAAATCAAATATTTTAATATATGATATACTCTTTTAATTATAAAAATCATAAAAATATTTAAATATTTATTTACTGTATACTGTATTAATTAGATCATTACTTAAGTACACGATTGGCTTATGTCATGCCGATCATTGTTTACCAAAACTATAAAAATCATCAATCTCCATCTTATTCAGAAGTGAAAAATGGATTTAAATGACTATTCATTTTACACGGTTCCGCCAACTTGTGTTGCTTTGGCTAGTATCACACTTCTAATTATTCAGAGAATCAAACCTCGAAAGAATTATGATGAAGTACCGCAAGAGGAGGCATTAGATATACCAATTATCGTCGATGACACACGATTCTCGACAGTTAAAAGGGATTTGATGAAGATTGGTATAATAATACTACAGATTGGAATATTTTCGTTCTTATTTGGTTATAGATATGACCAAAACAGGGACGATGTTGTAGGAATATCTGCGGGTGTACTTGCTTTATGCTGGGTAAATAGATCACGCGGCCTTCTTTTTTTTTTTTCTATTTAATATTAAACCGACCAATATGTCTTGAATTTTATTAGTGTTATGCGCTAACAATCACGATTATCGGCATATGCTCGAAATCGAATCATCTGGGTTGGGTTTTAAATGCACATTTGACAGCGTTTACCTCTGTCGCCTTTCTGTGTTCATTCTGGCAACTTCGAACAGCCATTAAACTTGAGCCGGTTGTGGATCACCGTAATCACCTGGCCATTAAAATCGATATGATAGTAGCCATTTGCAATTCGATTTTCTCATTAATTGCTACTTCAGTAGCAATTACAACTCCAAAAGGGCCACCGTTGATCCAAGAAGGAAGAGCCGTCAATGCAATAGAGTATTGTTCAATATTAGATTTTATTACATTTTCCATGGCGACTCCCTTGATGGTCAAAGCTTATTCACAGAAAACCTTTCAAGACATAGATCTTGATTTGCTTCCGTTTTCTTGTCAATCACGTGTTCTACACAAAGTATTTAAGAACACTCTGGGAAACAACCTTTTATACAGGATCTTGAAAGCTAATAAGCGCACCTTCGCGATACAACTCTTTTTCACGATAGTAGTTAGCACCTTATACTACGTTCCCATGGTTTTCCTGTATAAATTTCTAAAGATACTTCAGGATAAGCCCGATCATGGATTATATGAGTGGGGATTTATATACATCTGTGGAATGCTAATAACAAACATTCTGATATATATATGTGCTGCACAGAATTGGTTTTGGAGTTCGAGCATACTTCAAGTTAGTATTAAAGGAATGCTGTGTTCTGAAATTTTAGCGAAAAGTTTGAAAAGGGTTGACACACATGTTATGCTGCCTGAAGATGAAAGTGATGATCAGGATGCATCTGGTAAAAACGAGGATGAAGACAAGAATGATGAAGGGAGTTCGTCAATTGGAAGGATCACTAACCTTATGGCGGTCGACACGAATAGAGTATCTGAGTTTGCCGTTTGGTGGACTAGCGTAATTGATTCCCCTGTAGAGCTGGCCGTTGGTATTTACTTTTTATACCAAATATTGGGTGTGTCTTGCCTCTTTGGATCATTGGCAATGATATTTATTCTTCCGATAAATCACGTGACTGCAAAATATTATGCAAAAACACAGGACAACTTGATGAGGGCTAGGGATCATAGGGTGAATTTAATGACCGAGGCAAGTCGCGCATTTATATAATCACTATGTTTTACATTCAAAGTTTTATGGAGAACTTTGCTAATGTGTCACCATTCTGTTTTTGTAAAAATAAAGGTTCTTCAAGGTATTCGAATGATCAAATTTTTTGCCTGGGAGAAGAACTGGGAACGCAGGGTTCTTGGTAATGTGATTTTTCAGTCAGTTTCTCCCCTTAAATTTATGAAAATTAATTGATTTTTTTTGTATCATTTTTAGAGGCACGAAGGACAGAACTCAAACAACTTCGTTACAACTTTATATATATGACTATCCTTGACCTATTATGGATGGTGTCACCAACTCTTGTGACGATTATTAGCTTTCTATTTTACACTTTAGTTCAAGGACAACAACTTACAGCTGCCGTTGCATTTACTTCAATAACAATTTTCAATGAACTTCGATATGCCTTAAACGTTTTACCCGAGGTTTTGGTTGAAGCACTTCAAGCCTCAATCAGTCTGAAAAGGATAGATAAATTTTTACATGAGGATGAAATTGATACTTCCTCTGAGAACGACGTCTCTAGCACGACCAATTCAATAAGTTTCGTGAAGGCTACTGTGACTTGGAATAAGGAAAAGGCTACAGGGGGTGAAGTTGACAATGTATTTAACGAGTTTTCGATGCACGATTTGAATATTGACTTTCCCATAGGCGAGTTAAGTGTCATATGTGAGTATGTTAATAATTCGAAGAATGCGAAACTATACGAATATCAAACTGACTATTTGAATAATCAAAATTTATTAGGTGGCCCGACCGGATCTGGAAAGGTGAACTTTATGATCTACATTTAGTCAGCTGATTGACAGTATATTAATCGGATAAAATCGGATAATTGCATATATAGACATTATTATTGCTCTCTCTGCTTGGAGGTAAATTGAGAAATTAGTTTCTCTAGGTTTTCTTTTCAAGTCGAAACTGATGCTTCAGACTTTTGATAGAAACGAATGTTTTGAGCGGTAAGATCCACTGTCCTCGTCCACCGACCGACCTTACTAGCAAAGACATAAATGCGCTTAACTGGATTCTTCCAAATGGTGTCGCATATGTTGCACAACAACCATGGCTTCAAAATGCCTCCATACGAGATAACATCTTATTTGGCCTTCCTTACGACGAAACGCGTTATAATCAGGTGATAAAGGTGTGTGCTTTGGAAAAAGATCTTGAGATTTTTGAGGATAAGGATATGACTGAGATAGGCGAGAAAGGGATAACACTTTCGGGAGGACAGAAACAAAGATGCGCTTTGGCTCGGTAAATGCATTTTATCGATGAATAATGAATCTAATGTTACCAGTGGAAAATATTAAAAATTTTATGTTACAGTGCGGTATATTCCCGGGCAAAACATATCTTTGTAGATGATGTTTTTAGTGCTGTCGACGCACACACTGCTCAGCATTTGATGAATGAATGTTTTTTGGGTCCATTGATGGAAGGGCGTACTCGAATTCTTGTAACACATCATGTTGGTTTATGCTTGTCGGGTGCATCTTATTTGGTAAAAATTTCACATGAAAATATGAGATATACACTTTTGCATTTTATTATTTCTTAACTATTTTTTAATGTTATATGCCTTCTTTTTAGGTCGTAGTTAACAATGGTGAACTTAAGGCATCTGGGAATATTTCTGAGTTGAAGAATTCGGGAACATTAGTCCCTATACTACAGGAATATAACAGTCGATCAGGATTTCAGGATTTCACCGTAACGGCGATCGAGGATGCTGCCCCTCACTCATCGATAACTACCAAAGCCACTATTCAAATTGAGGACACACAACCTAAAAAGAATGCTGATCCTAAAATTCTTATTGAAGAAGAGTGTAAGTAGTTTATATTAGTCTATTGTACTGTTTCATGGCACCATACTGAACATACATGACATCAAACGAATTTATAGCGCGTCCGACCGGCATGGTTCGACTAAAGATTTATGCAACGTACTTTCGAGCTAATGGACATATGCTCTACTGGATGATTGTAGCTGGATTATTTGTTGGCTCCGGAGGTATACGCATATTGGAATCATGGTGGCTCAAAACGTGGTCTGATGCAGATATAATAAACTCGAATCACGAACCCATTACAACTATCACCTTTATAAAACGATTTGATTGGATTATTCTTAATGGGATATTTAGAGATTTAGACGAACCACATAGTGTAGAATATTATTTGAACATTTATGTGATCATTACATTCGCGTCCGTTTTATTTGGCATTTCGCGTTTCATATGGCTTTATTATGGATCCTTGAAAGCATCAAAAAAGCTTTACCAAAAACTACTTAACCAAGTTATTCGAGCACCGTTAAGATTTTTCGATACGACGCCAGTTGGAAGGATTTTGAATAGATTCAGCAAGGACTTTGAAACCATTGACAGCAGTTTGATAGGTAATACTGTGATTATCGCACGTGCTTCGGTGTTTTCCAGAATAATACTCTTTTCTAAAAAAAGATATATCAATTGTAGGCAACCTTGCATGGTTTCTAATCAACGTAATTTTTTTTTAAAAAATGTCTCATATGTTGTAAATATGTCTTTAAACAGCTATATATTCAAATGTATAGTTCATCATGATGATTAGTACTACATTGGTTATAACAGCTATTACAAAAGGCGAGTGCAGTATGACCAGATTCTCAGAAATCGAATTTATATTAATTATTTTACTTTATTTTACAGAATTCATTGTTGCTGCGATCATTTTCGGTAATCGATATAGCGATATTTTTGACCTTCCAATACGTGTTCTTCAGGATTATTCTAATTAATTTTAATTCAGGTGCCATATTCTTATTGGTCGGGTCAATATATGCGAAGGCATCTCGCGAACTTAAGAGAATGGATTCGGTGACCAGATCCCCGTTATACTCGCATTTTACTGAAACTTTAGTGTAAGAAATTTTCAGTATAAATTATACTCTTTGATACTTTATGTTGACACGTGTTTTCTTCATTTTAGTGGAATAACTACGATTAGAGCTTTCGGCGCTACTAGACGTTTCATGGAAGAAATGTTATTAAAGTAAAAATCACGTACACTTATTATTTGTTTGCATTTTTGATAATAGTAATTGACGTTGTTATCTATTTTAATGTTCAGAATTGATAAAAACTTGCGACCATTTTTTTACGTTTGGTTGGTTAACCGTTGGCTATCCATTCTATATAACATCACTGGGTCGTTTGTGACATTCCTAGCCGGTTTATTCATCATGTGGGATCTCGAACACATAGGTGCAGGTTTAGCTGGGTTGTCACTGTCATTTGCTATGAATTTTACCAAACAAATAATGTGGTCAGTGAGAAAATACACTTCATTGGAAATGAGTCTGAATGCCGTGGAGAGAGTTAGCGAATTTTCCGAAATTCCACAAGAACCTCCAGCTATAATAGAACCTAGACCCCCTGCTAATTGGCCGCATAGCGGTTCCATATCAGTACAAAATCTTGAGGTGAAATATGCTTCTGATTCTGAGCCCGTGTTGCATCGAATCTCATTTTCAGTGAAGGGTCGGGAAAAAGTAGGGCTGGTTGGAAGGTTAAAGATGATTTAACATTTTTTGTTATGGATTAATACATGCTACCAACTAATCTTTCTAATCTGTAACAGGACTGGATCCGGAAAATCGACAATAGCTTTGTCACTATTTCGTTTTATCGAGCCATCAGGTGGACATATTTCGATTGATGGAATTGACATCTCATCAATTGGCGTTGAAGACCTCAGGTCGAGAATCACTATTATCCCACAAGACCCGATATTATTCAGTGGTAATTGTTGTTGAAGTCTTCTGAATAATTGTGCTCATTTACAAAAATTTTTTGTTCATTCCTTGCAGGTACAATACGATCAAACCTTGACGCGTTCTCTCAATATGACGACCACGAGTTACTGGAATCACTACGTCGTGTTCACTTAATATCTTCGGCATCCGAGATTGCTTCAGGTTCTAGCACAACGGGTGACAATGTAAACGTGTTCACAGATTTGTACACCCCTGTAAGTGAAGGTGGTAAGAATTTTAGTCAAGGTCAAAGACAATTACTTTGTTTGGCCAGAGCCTTACTAAGAAGGTCCAAGATAATAGTGATGGATGAAGCTACGGCTAGGTAGGTACTTTTTTTTAAAAAAAAAATGTGATCCACGAGAATTGACTTGGATGTAACGATCTTCTTAAATTTTAAGTATCGACTTCTCTATGGATGAAAAAATTCAGAAGATGATACGAACTGAGTTTGAGGATTGCACAATAATGTGCATTGCACATAGGCTACGTACTGTAATTGATTATGATAAAATTTTAGTTCTTGGTATGAGAAGAAATTCATAATAATTCATTCGTTATCTTTATTTTGAGCCTTGTGTTAACATGTGACCTATCTTAACCTTATAGATAACGGTAACATTGTTGAATTTGATAGGTAATTTTTCAATTTTTGTTCTAAAAAAAATTGCAAAATGATAATAATTTCCCAATTTTCGATAGTCCCTACAATCTAATAGCGAACCCCGAATCCTTATTCCATATGATGTGTAAAAATACTGGCGAGTTTGACTTGTTAATGGCATTAGCTCTTAAGAAAGGCAAGAGTGATTATTAAATTTACAACCTACCTTTCTCTGAAGTCTGAATTGTGCAATACGCATTGCATTGGTAAAACTATTTTTAACATAATTTGTTTTTAACGGGTTTCAAATAAATTGCCTGCTACAATTTTTCAAATTTGAACTGATTCTCGAATAGTTTCATCTGGCAGTTCCAGATCTGCGATCATTGGTTTTTTATATTGAGTGCAAATAAAAACGAATTATTTAAATTATTAAGGAGACCGTTCACTTCATTTATAGAGGCCAAGTTTGATTGGTCAACCCGAATTTAAATCATTATTAAATGTCAACAACCTATTACTCAACCGATTAATTCCCAATAATAGAGATCTATTAGAGGTTGAAGGAGTATAAGCAAAAGTTGCCGGCAGTGAGTTACGCAAAGATTTTACGGTCATGACCGGCCAAAAAACTTCTAAATGGCTCACTCAAATAGTCAACAGTTATTATATTATGTTCAGGAAAGGTACATGGTTTGCAAATATGAATATCTATGTACTGTATATACATTAACATGCAGCGAAGACAATCCAAAATTCAATCTTATTCCCAACAAATACACCGCATATTTTCTCACATATGTTTCCGAATCACACCTAGACGCATTCGGCTTCTGACATTTCCTCCTCATTCTCATTCAAAAAAGGAAGACTTGGAGAAACTATTATCGAATTGGATGTAGTTTTGATGCTAGTAGAAATCCCATTCCCATTAGGATTTCCTATTTCGGTTTCTTGGGAGACATTTTCCATAACATTAATAATAGGAGTCAGAGCTTTTGCGCTATCGTTATTTTGCGGCGAAACAAAATCACCAGTTGTGACTGATGTTTCTTCAACCTTGACTTTCTTGCTTGGTAAAGGGGGTAGTGGCTTTGATCTTTTAGCCATCTGTTTCCTTGGTGTTTGATTACTCGCATCAGCTTCGTTCAATTTTGTAGTCTCACTGATAATAGACATCCTGTTTGCGAAGGATACGGGAATAGTACATGACATACTCTGATTGATGGATGTATACAGTTGGTAAAAACGCCCAGAGACTTCTGACAAGTCGACTGTATACTCAAACTTGTCTTTATTCAATTTTTTCAACATAAACGAATCGCCATCACCTTTTGATGGTCCTCTAGGAAACATGTCCCCACTCATTTGAATTTTATTTTGAGAATTCATAAAGATAGTATTGATCTTAAAAATCGGTAGTCTCTCGTGTGATTCTCGAGATGGCCGTACCAAACGAACATAGTCATCCTCCTTCAAGAGTTCAGTACCCAGAAAAATAGCTCTATAATGAGGATAAGATTCCATTTGTTGCAATAATCGCCTTTCGTTTGCAAGCTCAATATATTTAAGGTAGCCATTTGGTAAACAATACTTATATTCCAGTATAGGGGTATATGTTGAAGATATCTCACTTGCCTGTTCGATAGCTCTAAACCATTTGCCCACAAATTCACCACGCGCAGAGCTCTTAAACAGATGTGCACTATTATCATTATGTAGTGAATTTTCGATTGATTGAATTAAGTCATTGGTGTTGTAAGCTAACCATGGAAGAATAGCGTACTGCTGTACTCTCTTCGTTCCAGCTAACATTAACAGCTGCAAAGTATAGAATACCATGGCATCCGGTGAATCAATGCTAGTAGAATTACCAAGATCGTGCATCGCCCTTGAGCGTTCGCGAACAATTGCCGGCCAATACTTTATCTGATCTCCCCCCTTCTCATTGAGTAGTGAATTTCGTTGAGCGGGATTTAACACATATTGAACGCTTGCCCACACGATGTCTTCACGTCGTGATTTATTGTCTATTTTCGGTAGTAAGCTTTCTTCTTTGACATTTATCAAAGCCTTGGATTTCCCCTTTTGCGCTGAGGACCATTTTTTAGTTGAAGAGAAGAAATTTTCGGTTTTAGGTGACTTTGGAGACTTTAAAGATCCAGAGGATGAAGGAGAAGCCTTTTGTCCATCTTTGTGACAATATTTACACAAGCAGGGAATCTCTTTATCAGAAGCAAGCCACAGAAGATGGTCTTCAAATTCCGCGGGTGACCGATACTTGGAACCATTACCTGAGACATGTCAAATTGATCAGAAAACATCCTTGAAGGTTAAGTAAACGCGTATTACAATGTGAACTCACCAAAAAGATATGTATCCTTCCTCGCGGGCTTGTTAAGCTTTTGTGGATATTCCTTGATATTTTCAAATAGTTTGTAGCCCTTGGGAAGACCAGTTAAGACAGCTTACGAGAATTGAAGCAAGGTGAATAATGATTTGAAGTATCGAAAACCTGCAAAAGATTCGATCGCCACGTAAAAGCTCCAAAAAATACCTTTTGGTACGATTATATCATTTTTTACCAAAGCTTTACCAAGGCAATCGCCAAGTTTTGTTAAATAAAGTTCAAATTTACTTTCATTTTCGCCAACGGTTCTATAATGTGATTTAGTGCCACTGGTGTCAAGTACCGTAGTAACATCAGGATAATTATCAGGGCTGCCGTCGGAATAGGTTACTGCGAGACCTTCCTCTGTGACTTCAACGTTTATAAAGTTCATATCTGTGAGTAAAGTCTTTATGTGTGTTCGAGTTTTTGGACGTGATTCCACGCTACATATTTATTAGATTTTCCCTAGCCAATCACGAGTGATCGTTTGATGAAGTATGCAAATGATCAGTTGACTCAGCACCAGCTCTGTCATTGCTTTAAATAATGTAACATACTCAACATAGTTGACGCATTACGTATTTACATAAGGAACCGTGCTATGCTAAAATAAGAAATATATCACGAGCACACGCGATATAACTCTCAAAGTAAATAACACTTGTAAAAAATTAACCTTTCCAAATAATGGGTCTCCCACAGAGAGGGTACACGCTAGAACGCTTTGCCGCTTCAACAACGTCAACTTTTCAAAAAATGGAAAACGGGATAAATCAAATATTAGATCGAGTTTTCGAATATTCAACCGAATATGATATGGATACTTTTCTCACAATATGCGACTTGGGTAAAAGCTTGGCCCAACCTCTTGCCGCTTTTCGTTGACAATTTCTTAAATACACGTGACTAATTCTTTATCGTTTACAATATAGCTGATCAAATGTTAGTACGTCTTCACAGGAACAAAGCTCACTTAAATCGGGTATACAAAAAACTGGAAATTTTCGAAACACAAGTTGACGATTATGAAGGTTATATTGATGATTATGAAATTTTTGTTGAGGAATTAAGAGTATGGAACGAAAAACTATCAAGGGAATTTGACGCAGGAATGAAGGTTGTAATTGACCGATTGGACGAAATTGGCGAAAGAGGTATTTTATTTTTGTTTACTCGTGCGATGATAATGTTTCGTTTCACAGATCTTAATAAAATTTTTTCGTTGATCGAATCAGCTGAAAGTCGAAAACAGGAGGAAGAAAATGATTTGTATTACACTGGAGATTATGAGGTAGAAATAATGAATGAAAATATGGACTGAAGTTCAAACACTATTATTCTTTCGGCAATCTTTTATAGATAGATGGTGACGTGAGAGATTTAAAACCTACCTTTTATGCCAATAGATCAATAGAATACTACTTCTTAGCTTTCTGCACTTATTTATGGGCAGAAAGCGTGTATAAAATAACTGTCTAACTTTTTGGATTAGGAAGATTAATCTTGAGATTTCAATCGCCGTTTACAATTTTTAATAATCATGAAATTAGAATTGCTTTAGACGTTTACATTTTCAACATTAAAATTCTCAAATATCATTGCACATAATTAAAAAAAATGATCCTAATAGTTATTTGAAAGGGTGAAGCTTATAGTTAGGCGAATTTGTAAATATTAAAAATAATCAATGACACTGAACTTTCAGGCAAATAGATAAACAAAAGTCATTAAAGTTAAATAAAAACAAGAATTTATAGTTAAATTCAAGTCATAATATTATACAATCTTAAATATACAATACATAAAAATATACTGCATTCTATTTATAAAGCATGAAAATATAATTTAATACTAAGTTTAAGATAATTTTAAATTATTATTAAAATAATTGAACTAAAATATCTATTTGTATATAAGTCTTAATAAGTGAGTTTTATTAAATTTTATTTATTTTCATTATATTAATGATTTTTAAATAAAATAAATTAATTATAACTTGTCAAATATATAAATAATATTTAAAAACTTTAAAATTCAAGTAAATAAAAGAAAAAAGATGATAACAATGGTTAGCTATTAATTACGTATATATTATCTTATTAATATCTATTTGAATTTTTTTTAATAATAATAATAGATAAAAGAAAATTCGTAAACAACAAAAACTTTTTTTTTTAAAAAAATTTTAATGAAACAAGAAAAGGCTCTTGTCAAGTTTTTTTTTTATAAAAAACTTTTCAGTTGTTTTCTTTTTTTTCTCAAGTTCTAATAATTAATTAAAATATATTTTTTGCTAAAATTTTTTTTTAAAATTTAAAAAAAAAATTAAAAGTTTTATTTATTTTTACATAGTTTGTTTTTTTTAATTATGGTTTTTAAATAATTATCTTTAATTAATTAAATCATTTTTCAATTATTTATTAAATTCAATTATATTTTTATTTATATATTTTTTTTTTCTCTAATCAGATTGCATTCACTATGTTTATTAATCTTTAAAGATATATTACAATAATACATTAAGCCCTAAGGCTATATACTAGAGCTAAACTGTATCTAATGCAGAACACCCATCAATGAGTTGTGTAACTCTTTAAGTATAATCATAGGGAATAATAAAATTGCTCCTTTTCCAAAACTGCTCTTTGGCCTTAAGAAAAATCATAGCCAGCCTATATTCAGACTGTCACCCCAATACAAACCTGTAATCCTAAGAGATAAAAAAAATTTTTATTTTTTAAGAAATTAAAGGGGAATTGAAAAGATAATAGAAAAGTTTGTTCTGATAAATAAAAATTCTCCAATATCAACTTCAATCCATCAGAATAAATCCTTTACCACCACTTGCAGCTGGGCAAACCATTTAATTTCTGTTATTTCATTGTTAACCAAAAATGTTTAAGGACACTTCCAGGAGAGTAATTCTTAAAATTTTATACTCGAAGACTTCTAACCTTTAGAAAGAATTGGTATTTCGATTGGCAATTTCTCTTCCAGCCTAATCTTCAAGGATTTATGGCTTCTTTTAATTAGTAGATAATTTCAAAACCCCTTTTTTCAACCATTTTTGGAGATAATCAACAATAGAAAGAGCTTGTTACTAAATTGGAATGAACCTTCTTTTGATCTTGAAGAGAAAAAAATCCAGTTCAAGAGGAGAGAGGGAAACATCATAACACTTCTTAACAAAAAGAGCACCTTGTCACCTTTCTCTTTTCACTATGTCCAATTGTATCATCAGGTTTTGTGTTGTACAAGATATGGCACATAAGAGTTACATGTCTTGTTTACATTTCTTGCTACATATAGATCAACCAGTCCTAAATTCGAGCCAATTATTATTCAAGGATTCCAGTGCAATCAAAAATTCAGGGTCAAACTGAGATAGGCTAAATTCCCTAGAAAAAACTAGAAAAAAGTTTACATACTTGAAAAGATAGGAGAAAGCTTGAGGAAGATAAGAGAAAAGTTCTAAAAACTATGCCAGTCTTTTCTAGAGTCTTGAATCCCTGGAGAAAGAAAGGAATGTGTTTTTTTTACAAGTTCTTTTTCCTAACAAAGTTTTCTTGCCTTTAACTTTATAGGTAGATATTTCTTATATTTATTTGTAGAAATATAAGAAGTTTATGTCAAAAAAAGAAAGAAACAAGTGGGAAAGACTGTGGTCTCTTGGTATAAGTATTGTTAATGAAAGTGTGTAAACTTTATTACAAAGAAATATAAAAATTTCCTTGAAATATCTGTTTTTTGTGTTGACAAAGGGATCAGTGAAAAGAGTTATTTAATTCAATTATATTTTTAGTTATTAATAAATATATATATATATATATATATATATTAAAAAAAAGAATAAACTTTAAACCTAAAGGACATAAAGACTTTAAGAAACACTATTGCATTGGGATGGAACCTCTGATCAAGACCTAAGCAAGTTGGGAGTCTTCCTTAGCTCTTAGTTGCATGGGAAAAGGCTTATGGCAGCCTTCCTTTATAATTTTTGTCTTTAAGTATCTTCCCTTTATGATTATGATAATTGCTTTCCCTTTTACCTTTCTTTCTCCATAACACAAATTTAATTTTTACAACATATTCAAACAAATGCTTTTCCTTTTACCTTTCTTTTTCCATAACACAAATTTAATTTTTACAACATATTCAAACAAAGTTACTGAATCTAATGTTTGTCTTAACACAACCTTTGAAAATTTTATTATCTTTCTTTTTTGACCTGTGGGTCTATAGTATAGTGGTTAATACTATACATGTGGCTAAAATTATTTTACAATTGACTCAATTATTTGAAATTTTTATAGTGCTGCAATTAATGTGCTGCAAGTTGTAATTGTGGTGCAATTATATAAATTAGCTGCAAATAAATCAATATGACACAATAATGTGATTTGCCACAATTGTGCTGCAATTAAATCAATATGATGCAATCATGTGATTTGCCACAATTATTAAATTTGTTGCAACTTTGCCGCAATGCCAAAATTGTGTCGCAATTATTAATCAATTAAATTCTAGTAATCGTCAATTATATAATTTTATTTTGATAACACCTAATAAACATGAATATCTTTGGGCTATTGAAGATGTATTATCAGAAAGCATTACTTGAGAGTTTTTGATCAATTATGTTAAAAAAATCATTAATACTATTGGATAAAATAAAATTGCAGGATTGGTTACAGATGGAGCAGCTAATTGTAAGGTCGCACAAAATCTTATTGGTAAAAAATATCTGCAAATTATTACTATGTGATGTATTGTACATTATATCAATTTAATTTCCAAGGATATATGCAAGCATCAGTTTGCCATTAATACAATTAATAAGTGTCAAACATTAGTATCATTTTTTTTGAGATCACATCAAGGGATGAGTGCACTTCGGGAATCTATTAATGAATTAAAAATCAAGGGTGG